TAAGCTTTTTAAGTGCCAAAAAACATTATTTTTTGAGCTAAATGTGGAAAAAGACAAAAACTAAAGAAAAGGTTAAATTTTTGACTTTTTCTCCCTTCTTCAACTGATGTGCAAAAAAATTAAATTGAAGAATCAATGACGAGTAGGTCAGTCGTCATAACTGTTTGACAGACACCCTTCAAAAATTTCTATTCTATGCGCTAAAAAGTCCTCCGGGCCACTTGAGATTCTTGAAAAAAAAAAAAAAAAAAAACAAGTACACTTCTACGCTTTCCAGGAATTTGAAAAAAGTGCCGAACAAGTAATTGTGCAAAAGACAAGAAATCAAAATATTTGAAATAAAAAAAAAAATAAGCGTTGCTAGATAACGTTCAAAAAAAAGGATGGGGAACAGACTGAGAAAAAAGGTCTACAACAAGGAAGTGTGTTAATCTTGAAATACTTCAAAAGAGTATAAGCTGCCTGTAACAGTAATTATATAATTTCATTGGTTGATGAGAATAGAAATTACCTCTTTACCTTTCTTTTGGACAGGAACTGAAAATAGCTGATGTTAAAATGTCATAGCTGAGTCTTGAAAAGTTTTTGGCATGCAGTTTCCAAAACTCCAGTAGCTTATATTTGGCTTTCAAAAGTAAAAAGTAACTACCAAGAGCAACCATTTGAATTACTCTCCAAGACCAAATAGAAATATAAAGATACTGAGAATCTATTCGAAAACATTTGTCACAGTTTTCGATTCTAACAGCCGTACTGTACACTTAGAACTTACGAAATTTTTGCTAGCAATTCCTGCAGTTTAACATTTAAAACCAGGACACTGATGACTGGTAATGGAAAAGAAGAGCCAGTTTTTGGGGGCAAAAAAAAAAATAAAGAATCGAAATTTTAGGGTTCAAATAACAGACCACACTGATCACGCAGTTTGAATTTCTTAATGACCTGACAAAAAGGTGACGATACAGGAAAAATGATAAAATATTACCGTCGTCGTTTTACAAGCTATAATCATTTTAAACCATCAAAAACGTGCTTTTTTCTTAAACGAATTTATCGCACATCAGATTCCAGATAGCTAGTTAGCCGTGTCACCTGAGATTTAGATTAATAACAAAAACAAAACTAACCATATCTTGTTCACTACGGCTCCAAATGTTTGGCTTGCTAGACACCCGTTTTATCTCTCGTTTTGTCGTAATTGTCGTTTCGGTTGTCACAGAAGAATCTGTAGGCAGACGCGTTGTCGATGCGCTCCGATACTTTTTTGTAGGACCGCTAAAAATTGGTAGTGAACCGTTACATGAAGTAATGAAATAATGTGACACAAGCCACCATCCGTTCTTCATACAGAACACAAAGAGTTGAGCGGGCATGGTGATATAGTTTGTTCGTTTCTTTCCAGCTTAGACATCTAAGCATGGACAGGCGAACAAAAACAGTCAAGATCCTATGCTTCAATGAAAAAGAAAAGATAGATGGAGAAAAAGAGGAAATGATGATGTGGGACCCCGTATATAATCCGGTTGCTATTGTACTCAAACTTGTCCGCTTATAAACATGCATTTCTTTGCCATCGACCAACTCTTATTTTAATTTACATGGTTTTTGTTCCCAACTTCCAAACCGCCTAATGCTATAGTCCTGCTTTGACTCTTGTGATATTTCATAAGGCCACATTCCTGTCGACCTTTCATGCGATGAATGGCGATTGCATTTTGCAACTGTCTGACGTTGAGTTCAGTCCACACTCTTGGACGAGCTTATAGTGCTGTAAAAATGATTGCAGCCCTGTTGCTTTTAGTATAAGTTCGTATTTCAAGTTTTCACGGCTGCTGGTTGCTTCCGTTCAAAATGTCTGTTGATTAGAATCGTCTGGTAGATTCTGACGAAATGTTTCAAAGGACAAGTGTTCCCGATAAATTAGGAAATTTAAAGTCAAGCAGTTTTTTTTCATCGTACACGATAGTACATATACTTCTGAATTTGCTACTAAGTACTCTCTACAGGCCAATGAACGGCAGTGTGAGAAATGCGGCAGTGCGATTTTGATAAATCAATGCCGGGGTGGTAACGAATTTAGGTGTGTCTGCAGACGCCCTGACGATAATGGAAGAGGGTTATTTCATTCCACAGTAGTAATGCGTAAAAATTCATTTTTTAAAGACCCACTTCTTTTTCTTCAAAGAAGTTTTGGTATTTATTTATTTTTTAGACGAATAAGCTTCTTGTAAAGCCAGCCACTAAGGAAATGGAATTTGCTTCACATAATACTGCGGATTAGAGTGATTTTTTACAGATATCAGATCGGTATGAAAGCAATCGGCCACTGCAAGTGGCTTCCACATGTTCGTAGAAAACGATAAGAGCTTTCCTTTTAAAAAGAGGTAACATGGCTGCTGCGCATGGGATTGGCAAAATTGTTGCTCCCACAGTACAGTTTGCTCTTCGCATGATTTGCTATCAGTAATTTAGCAACGGATTATGCCTGGCACAAACAGCACCAGTAAAAGAATGCGGGCTTATTAAGGAGCAAAAAAATTAGGACGGTTCTGCGCCCGCTGTAATCTTAACTACTTCCCTGAGTTTTCATCGTACAAATCGACATCGTGGCCATCCTTTTGTGGTTCAAACAAACACTATAGAGGACCACTAGAGTCGAATGAAAAAGCAGCACAAAGTCATGAATAAAACAAGTAAGGATCCTTTTGACAAGTACATATATATATATATTTGAGTACGTGTTTCAGAAAGCCTTTCCCAGCAACTTCTTTTTTCACTTTCTATCATAGACTGATAAGTTTTGTGTACACAGCTGAAACGCTCTAAGTTCATAGATATTTTGGAAAGACCAGAAAATGGCCAAGCGGTTTAAAAATTGTTAAATGAGGGTTACGTGGGGGGCGAATTTGAAATTTTCAAATTCATAGTGCTGCGATTATAAAGTACAGCCACCACACCTTGCCATCTGCCTGGAGATGTTACGGAACGTCATAAAAATCAAGACGAAACTATAGTACTAAAACACCAAAGTCAGCAAGAATTGCTAAGGCAAACCTTAAACTATCTTAAATGTTGCAGACGGGATGGAGAACCGTATTTACAATAATCAGGGCAATTTGACGGTGAAAAAACTGTTATGCTTGAGGTACGCCCGATTAACTACTGTAGCGCCATTAATCTGTTTATCACGAACTAAGCTTAATTATTAAGTAAGTTTAGTTGAGCTCAGCTTAAAATGCAATCAAGTGAAACTAAGACCATTAAAATCTACATAGCTTTTTCAGCGATTGTGGTTTCAGCAGCTCACATTCAAAATTTTGGCCAGTAAGGGACCAAAACCAGCGAAAACACATTCTCCTCTTCCCATGAGTACCTGCCTAGGATAGGAGTGTAAAGTGTGAAAGAAAGGGTAATCCATAGTACTAGATCAGACGAATGCGGTGGATGGGAGCAGTTCGATGTCAATTTGCAGCAATTTTTGTTGAATCATTTCTAACATATGCCGTTTTGATTATCCTCAAAATAAAATAACTTGTCCACCTTTTTACCACTGCAGTTAGCTTGTTATACTGTATTCGCTAGCCGCCCTGGTAAGATTCTTTTATAAACTTCTAATAGCTGATTAATTTGCTTCAATGCCGTTTTCAAGGCTAACCTCTTTTGGTGCCATGTCTTATTTGTTTAAGACACCATCAAATAACAAGAACGATCTTATCTGTATACAGATCTTGTGCCGTGAAGCCAGTAGGAAATGTTTTTAATTTGCACAACAAAGATAACTAAAAGATTCAAAATTCCTGCACTTTGGTAACTTACAGACAAACCGCAGCGATTATCAAAATCTGCAGCTCATTTCTGTGCCAAATTATGCATACTCATTTCTGTACCAACTTTGCTCTATCTAGTCTGCCAGGCGTTGTGTGGGACACTCTATTGAAACGCATCCTACAGAAACAAAAGTATCTAACGCAGAATCCACCTGAAAATTAACTGCAGATACGCACTCGTTATTAATTACCAAATCTTTACCGCTACCTTCTTTTCTTTCAGAACACTATTAACAAAGACGGACTTTTAGAATTAATACTGCGTTATGCCTAAAAAATGTTGAATCATCATTTGGCATAGATCTCACAGCTTCTGTGTTTGTATGATCAAGACTGAATTTACCTAACACGTTAAACCAAATGCTGCGCTTGTTCTTTGTCGGGATTGAAACAGCAAAAAACCATCCATTATGTATTTTGGGAAATTTTTTTAGCTTTTTGGAGCAGGTGTAAAGGTTTTGAAACGAAATACGTATTTTAATTTGAACCGATAGTAACAGCTTTTCTGAAATCGTTAAAGGAGTATTACTAGAAAAACCAAGCAGTGTGCAACGTAATAAAAATTCTTAAACTGTTCAAACATTTCATTTGACGTTATACGTGCACTTATTGGTTGAAAAAAGCTCAAAATAAGCATTAAAATTTTAAAATGCTGGAATAGAAAAATTTAAGCATTTGCTCAGAAGTACTTTCTTCAAAAGTAACCGCAGCTAGTGACGGCTGAATTTACAGATATCAAGTGTCACTACTTTTATGCTTTTTTGACCAACTTTCATTTTTGCGAGCTTTGCTCTTACCTTTAAAATTTCTAAAAACCAACGCGCAAAACTATGCCCTTTGTATGCCAAAAAACAAATTGAAAAACGAAAGACAAAATGACAAAATGTAGGAGAGTAACTCCGTTTGAAACCTGCAAAATTTTTGTTTCTCTTAGTCACAGTATTTTATTCCTCTCACCACTGCTTTATTAACTCAAACAGAAGAAAGACAGCAAAGAGCAGAGTGCAAAAAAAAACCGCCCGAGTTTGCAGAAAATTAAAATTTTATGTTAATCTCATAAAATTTTCCACTAAGAGGAATAAATTTTTAGAAGCGATAGAACGATGGAACGAAATTGATGAGAGTTTGATAGATTACATAAGACAGTAGAGAAGAAATTTAAAATTCTGAAGCTTACAAATTAGCAAGTAAGGAAAATAGTTCAGAAACAAAAGTAACCCACCTATAGGGCTGGTCAGGTGAACCACCACTTCGAGCTTTCCCACTGTCAAAAGATGAGTCACTACGGTACTCACTTTCAAATTTTCGTTCGTACTTTTCTTCACTGCTTCTACCGCTTACCGACTTATCGTAATCACTAATGTACTCTCGCAATGTACCTGACTTTGACCTGTAAAATCTGATTTTTAAATTTCACTCAAGTACTAAAGACAAGGAAATTGTTGAAACAGTGCACGAAATACTGTATTTGATTAGAAAATAATCGTAGACGAACAATGAAGAAATGAGTCCTTATA